CCAGGGAGGGGTAGGGCCTTACCGGGATGGTGCGGCCGAGCATCTTGGTCTGGGTCACTCTCAGGATCCTGTATGTCCCCATGACCTTGTCAAATGTCCTCTGCTTCACTGAATGCTGGATCTCTTCCTGCTTGAAGCCCAGGTCCAGCATCATTGTTGTGATGCGCAGGTCCAAGTCCTCCTGGGGCAGCTCGATGTAGGGCCGCAGCGGCTCCTCCTCCTGGCCCATGTTGAGCCAGGCGTCCTCCATGACCTCTTCCATGGTCGGCCTCTGGTTGGGGTCCACAGTAAGTAATCCGTTCTAAAAACTTTGGCCTTGCCTTCTCAGGAAATGCGGCACTTCGACCTTCCCCGCCAGGATCTCCTCCCTCTGTTGTACAAAGTTGGCCCTCCGGAATGGAAATGCACCTTTCCCGTCACCACCTTGTACAATGTCGCCCCTATACTCCAGGCGTCCGCTTTGTAGCCGTACTAGTCTTGTGTCTTCAAGATCTCGGGGGCCATGTAGTAGATTGCCCCTCAGAAGGTGCTCAGTTTTTTGCCTTTCGCTTCTTTTCCAAAAACGAAGTCAGCAAGTTTGATGCTCCTGTTCGCATCTACCAGAATGTTGGCGGGTTTCAGGTCCCGTTGGGCAATGCTCCTGTGGTGGCAGTACTGGAGCGTGGACACCAGTTGCAGGGATGCAGCGCTCCCATCTTACTCTGCTCAGAGAGGTGGCCGTAGGTCTCCAGGTGCTCTCGTAGGTCCCCTCCCCTCATGTGCTCCATCACCAGGTAAAAGTTGTCCTTGGTGGCAATCACCTCACATAATGTCTTGTGATGTTTGGTTGGTTTAATCCTTAAGACAAGCTTCTTGAGGGAACTCAGGATACCCCTTCTGCTGGATGGTTTTATAACCAGCTCGGTGGCAGTTCGCACGTGCCAGGCCAAGCTCACCTTAGCCCAGGCTCCCTTGCCAATGGTTCCCCAGAGCACATAACCACCAACGAAGCGCACCTGGATGATGGGAGGGGTTGAAAAGTGAGAAGAGGAGGGTGCCAAGTCAGAAGACATGGCATCTCCAAAATTACAAGACAAAACAAAAAAAATTGTTTCCAGCAGAGTGGGTGGGGGAGTGGTCGCTTGGACCCCTGGCAGTCTAGGTCTTTGGTCTCCTCCTCAGCCTACCCTGTGTGGAGGCCGCGTTCACGGGTGGCTCCCCCTCCTGCTCTACCTCTGCTGATGGTGCTCCTGCGACTTCTGTTGAGATTCCTGGGGGAGCCCCCAGGGCCATGCTTCAGGACTGGGCGGGGTAGCTATCCTCAACACAGGGGGCTCAGAGGGGGGGAGTGGTGGATATGGTTTCCACCAGGTCAGGTGGGGAAGTGGTCACCTTCGACCCCGGGCAGTCTATGGGAATGGAAGGCTGTTCAGTCTTCTCAGTAACTTCCTGACCCAACTCCTGGCTGGAGAAAATGTTCCTGGCCTCAAGGGAGGAGTAGGGCATTACTGGGATGGTGCGGCTGGGCATCTTGGTCTGTGTCATTCTTAGGATCTGGAATGTTCCCATCACTCTGTCAAATGTCCTCTGTGTCACTGACTGCTGGACTCGTCCTGCTTGAAGCCCAGGTGCACCATCATTGCTGTGACGTAGGGGTCCAAGTTTCGCAGGGGCAGCTCCCTGTAGGGCTGCAGCAGCTCCTCCTCCTGGCCCATGTTGAGCCAGGGGTCCTCCATGACCTCTTCCATGGTCGGCCTCTGGTTGGGGTCCACAGTTAATAAGATGTTTAAAAAACTTTTGCCTTGCCTGCTCAGGAAGTGCGGCACTTCGAACTTCCTCGCCAGGATCTTCTCCCTCTGTCATACAAAGTTGGCCCCCCTGAACTGCACCTTTCCTGTCACCATCTTGTACAATTTCGCCCCCAAGCTCCAGACGTAAGCTTTGCAGCCATCATAGTCTTGGTTCTTCAAGATCTCGGGGGCCACGTAGCAGAATGTGCCCCAGAAGGTGCTCAGTTTTTGGCCCTTCGTTTCCTTGCTGAAACAAATGTCGGCCAGTTTGATGCTCCTGTTGGCATCTAACAGGATGTTGGTGGGCTTGGGGCCTCGGTCGGCGATGCCCCTACTGGTGACAGTACTGGAGCACTGACACCAACTGCTGGAATGCCTCACGGGCTTTTCACTCTGTCAGGCGGCCTTAGGTCTCCAGGTGCTCTCATAGGTCCCCTCCCCTCACATGCTCCATCACCAGGTAAAACTTGTCCTAGGTGGCAATCATCTCCAATAATTTTGTGATGTTTGGGTGGTTTCAGCTCTGAAGACAATGGGCTTCCTGACGGAACTCAGGACAGCCCTTCCTACTGATGGCTGTTATAATCACCTAGGGAACAGTTGGCACAGGACTGACCAAGATCACCGTGGCCCAGGCTCCCTTTCCGATGGTTCGACCAAGCACATAATCACTAACAAAGTGCACCTCGAACATGGGAGGGGTTGAAAAGTGAGAAGAGGAAGTTGCCAAGTCCAAAGACATGGCAACTCCAAAATTATAAAACAACAACAACAAAATGGTTTCCACCAGGCTGGGTGGGGGAGTGGTTACCTTCGACCCCGGGCAGTCTAGGTCTTCGGTCTCCTCCTCAGCCTGCCCAGTGTGGAGGCCAGTTTCATGGGCGGCTCCCGCGGGGGCTCCCCCACTGCTGATAGTGCTGCTGCTGCAGCTACTATTGCACATGGTGGGGGAGTCCCCAGGGCTGCGCTTCAGGACTGGGCTGGGGATAGCTGTCCTGAACTCAGGGGGGTCGGCTGGGGGAATATCCATTTCCAGATGACACAAAGGACTTCTCTGGATGAGAGGATATCTGCAGAGTACAAATGGTGGGCTAATATGTTGGGGCAAATTCTACCCTTTATGGAGGCGGAGAGGGAGCAGGCAGGCTTGAGGACTCTGGAGGAGTCTCTGGCACATTCTATTTCAAACTCATCTTCTAAGAAAAATCCTTACTTTCTGTACATTGAGTGTTTTAATCACATGTATGTTATTCTAGTAATCATTTTCCTTTAACACTTCCCTCCTAAAGTCTCAGCTTTGTATAAAGGGAATCTTTAGAGGGATTATCAGCCTGTGAGGTTCTCCCACTGGAACACTTTAGTTTGTTCATTTTTATCGTACTGCAGTGATGCTCAGCTCTTAAACATGATAGTCTCTGTTGCATCGGGGGACCCCTGGGTCGCATTCGCTTGGACAGCATTGGGGGACCTCTGGGTCGTCTTCTCTTGGACAGCATCGGGGAACTTCTGGGTCGTCTTCTCTTAGACAGCATCCGGGCACTGCTGGGTCGCCTTCTTTTGGACCCTGTCGGGGGATCGCTGGGTCGTGGTTTCCCAAACTTTGTCGGTGGACGCCTGGAGTGCAGCCACCTGGACTGCAGCAGAGAAGTTCCATGGATTGGCCTGATAGATAGCATTCTTCAGCGAACCTTGTGCCTGGAGTTGGCGGTGATAGTGAGCCAAGTTCATGATCATCTTGGGCACTTCCTTTCAGCCGTTTTCGCACTTCCATCATTGGCTGCACAAAGTGCTCTCACCTGGCATACCCAGCGTTTATTTCTGGCACCGCTGGCCCCACAACTGGTTGAGTCCAACCTCTGGCTCAGCTCCCATACCAAGTGCCCTGCCTTCCTGGAGCTCTGCAACAGCACCTTCAAGGTAACTGTGGCCCCGCCTTGACCGTCCACAATTTTTAAAAATTACATGGGGTGGATATTCGTCTTTATGAAAACCTTCTTGTTGGTGGGTGACACACAGCATGTGAATTTTAAGATGAATCTCAAAACCGTTCTAACCCACGTGGGCCAGCCCAGGCTGTGCCAGAGGGAGAGACTGTGTTGCCCCCATCAGCCTGCCCGGTGTGGAGGACGCTTTCATGGGAGGCTCCCCCTGGGGTTCCAACCCTGATGAAGGTGCTCCTGTGGCTACTGTTGCCCATGGTGGGGGAGCTCCCAGGCCTGAGCTTCATGACTGGGCTTGGGGTAGCTGTCCTGATCCCAGGGGATCGGCTGGGGGAGTGGTGGATATGGTTCCCACAAGGCTGCCTGAGAGAGTGTTCGCATTCGACCCCGGGCAGTCTAGGTCTTTGGTCTCCTCCTCAGCCTATCCAGTGTGGAGGCCCAGTTCATGGGCAGTTCCCCGGCTGCTGAAAGTGCTGCTGCTGCGGCTTTTGCGCATGGCAAGCGAGCCCTCAGAGCCACGCTTCAGGACTGGGCTGGGGGTAGCTGTCCTGAACTCAATAGGGTCGGCTGGGGGAGTGGTGGATATGGTTTCCACCAGGTTGGGTGGGGGAGTGGTCACCTTAGACCCCTGGCAGTCTAGGAGATTGGAAGGTTGTTCTGTTTTCCCATCAAATGACTCACTCACCTCCTGATTGGAGAAAATGCTCCTGGCCTCAAGGAAGGGGTAGGGCCTTACCCGGATGGTGCGGCCGGACATCTTGGTCTGCGTCACTCTCAGGATCCTGTATGTCCCCATCACTTTATCAAATGTCCTCTGCGTCAAGGAATGCTGGATCTCTTACTGCTGAAGCCCAGTTCCAGCATCATTGCTGAGAGGTGGGCTTCCAAGTCCTCCTAGGGCGGCTCGATGTAGGGACGCAGCGGCTCCTCCTCCTGGCCCATGTTGAGCCAGGGGTCCTCCATGACCTCTTCCATGGTCGGCCTCTGCTTGGGGTCCACAGTTAATAAGATGTTCAAAAACTTTGGCCTTGCCTGCTGAGGAAGTGCGGTCCCCGCCAGGATCTTCTCCCTCTGTCTCATGAAGTTATTCCCCCGGAATGGCACCTTTCCCATCACCATTTTGTACAAGGTCACACCCAAGCTCCAGAGGTCCGCTTTGCAGCCATCGTCATCTTGTTGTTTGAAGATCTCGGGGGCCAGATAGTACATGGTGCCGGAGAAGGTGCTCAGATTTTGGCCCT